GCTTTTTTAACCTAATATCCCTCAATAAAAGCATCAAATCATATTAAAAATATGTATTTGTTTTATTAATTATTTTATTTTTATTTCTAAATAAGTTATTAGGGGCTAATAGGCTGGATTTCCAGAGTAAAGCAGGTTATTTACCATAGCAACGAATATTAACGATAATAGGTAATTTTGGGACACACGTGAATAAAATTTCCGAGGAAATTTCTGACCAAACTGATGGGCCTAAATTAACAGGTCTTGGATATGTTGTAGTTAATGCCATTATTTATATAGTCCTTTAAATTCAAAGAAAGGTTCCTTTCCACACAAAAAATATGAATGAGTAAAAATTGCGTTATTTTACCTTCAATTTTCAAAGTGAAGCCCCAAAATTTTTTGAGGGACTCAAGTGTCTAATCATAACACAACATGTCTACTCTAAGTTGTGGGCGGAAATAGAATTAACATGCTGGGCTATATATAGTTAAAAAGTCGTAAACAACGTGACTCTCGGTAAATTAAAAAGTGGAGGTCGCCATTTTGACAACGAAATCACGATACCCGGTTTTCGGCACTTCCCGGATCTTACCGAACTACCTACTTGGTTCATGCGGTCCATGTTAAAAAAGGACAAATTAAATCGTACTTTAAAAATGCATAACTTTAAAACTACAACAGCTAAAAATATGATTTTGGTGTTATCATTCTTTAAAAAAATTAGCTTTATTCAACTATGCCATTGGCTTTTATTTTTACAAAAAAGTTTTAATTTTCTAATCAAAGTACCTACAACTGCCTGTATTTAATTAATAAAGAATACACCTAAGTTTACATGATAAAATACGAAAGCGTTAAGAAATAATAATTTACGCACCTGAACTCCACTTTTACCCAGTATGGTTTGTTAAAAATTCAATAAGTTAGACTAATATCAGATAAGACCGATTTGCCGCCAAAAAAAAAAAGAGAAGTACAGCAACTTTGATCTTGATTGATGTCCTGTAAATGATTATAGAACTATACTTAAAATAGAACTTAAAAATACCATAAAATTATAAACATAAACGTATTCTTACTTTCTTTCAGCTCTACGTCACATTTTTTCTTCGTGTTTCTTCAAAGTCTTGAAAATATGGAACATTTCTCGATTGATGATAATGGCGACTAAGATGGCAACCAACAGGAAGTATCCGTCATAACCAACTTCACGTGACCAGCCGGATCCGAATAGCCATTTGCGACTATTGGTACTCGGGTACCTATAGCCACTTCGTTACATAAATGAAGTTACGTGCAAAAACTTTTATATAAATAAAGGAACTATAATTAAAACTAGAAATGTCACAATAGAGAACAGACTTTTTTTCAAAGGTAAAACATAATTCATTAAATTTTATTGTAATGAAAATGGCACTTCCTCACAGCTTGTGTACCTATAACTATAACTTCTATAACTATGACATGTAGTATATTTCAAATACAAATGTCAAATATGGTTAGAAAGGTACAGGGGTTATGTGCAGCAAAAAATTATTCAATGCAAATAATAGTAATAGTTAAGCTAATTATATCAAAATACAGATGACAAGATTTATAGGCTACATATTTGCCCATATGCCCATTACATTACATATTGTCATATTGATATAGCCTAAAATACAAGGAGGGCTAGAACAGTGCAAGGGTTCACATCAATAATAAAATAAAAATATGGGTTAGTTATTACTAATATTACAACTACAAATAAGAAAATATATCAATATCTGGTCTGGAATGACCTAGACAACATTTATTTATACATTCATATATGTTAACGTATTTAATTCTTCTTGGTACGGGGTAAATAATTTTGTTCATTTAGCTGCATCTTTTCAATTTATAGTTTAAAGCTTATTAACTTTTACACTAAATAATCTTGCAATGCCTTTGTCTCAAGCCTACCACACAAGACAAATGTAAATTATCTTCTTTGTTGCTATGATTAGTGACAATATAAACAATAAATATATGACTCAATTTTTTTAAAGAGTTAATTGGTTTGACACTTAGATAGTTTTTTTTTATATAAGTTTTCATTAAATTGTATCTTCTTTTTCAAAGGACATCATAGAACAAGCAGAACCAACTATGAATTGAATTAACGGCATTAAAAAACATATAAATCAATAAGGGTGGGGGTTATGCAATCAAAATCCAAAACTTGATCCACACAATGTACATAATCCAATGTTAAAAGTGATCTGTCCCACTGAGTGGGCCACTCTCTTGCGAACTTTATAACCGGTACATCTTTAGTCTGTGGGAACTAATGAGTCAACAATTTATGTAAATAAAACATTATGTTAAGCTTTTCGGCAAATGTTTCATCAGTACAACATAAAACATTATATAAGTAAAAAGTAAATTTACAAAGTATATATCTATATATTTTGTATATATATCCTGCCTAAAAATTAAAAAAAAGAATAGGAATGAAACAAGTCCCTAATGAAAACAAAGCTCAGAAGAACAGTTTCGAGCTGAAAAGATACGTTCAGACTTGAGTAAATTCCTAAAACTTTAGATTAAGACTGAACATAAGAAAGATACATTTATTTCATAGAAATCTAATATTATGCTAAAAGTAGGTACTTTGACACAAAATTTAAATATTGTCAAATTGCCATGAATGATACATCATTTTAAAGGGCCAGCTATAAGCTTTACAACAACACCAATTTCATCTTTCTATCTTTTATAGAAGTGGAGTTATGATTTTTTTGGTGATTTTTAAACACCCCCTTCTTTATCTTAGTATTAAACTGAAAAAACATGTGACCCACTTTCAAAATTTCTGCCTTATTTTAACCAAAACTTTTTGATTTTAAAAGATAATGCTACCAAATTTTCAGGAGACATTCTCAATGCAATATACAGTATAATAAACAACAAAACTTTTATATAACATTAAGACTTTTATTTTTTTATAAATTTATTTGTGGGTATGTTCAGAAAAAAGTGAACAAAAAAATTGGGAAAATCAATATTTATGCAGGAAAAAACGAAAAAAAAACCCCACCATATGTCCATATTTATTATTATTTATTGAATTTTAATTAATTTTATTATGCTTGTGTTAATTTTAAATCAATTATTATATTTATTAAAAGGTAAGTAGTCTTTTTTATTTATAAAATTGAAAGCATGGTAATTATAGATAAAAATTACTCAAATATCATCCATGATAATATGATAATGATGAGACTAATTCATTTAAAAAAATTATTTTATATATTAAATAATTGTCTATGTACTGCTTTTCTATGTCCTAATAAAAATATAATTGCTATGATGATGTTGTTTGAGTCTTGTTTATTAATTTGATGTATTTTAATAAAACTGTTATATTTAAATATATAGAACTTATAGTCTATGCTTGTAAATTGTAATAGAATTAGTAAGAAAAATTAAGCTTAGGCCTAAATAGGATTATAATAACAGTTGTTTATAATTATAACTGATAATGATAAGTAGGCCTAATTTTAGTAATATTCTCTGAAATAATTAATAAGAGAAAAACGATTATTATTATCGATATTACTATGTAAAACTATTAAATATTGATTCAATAATGAATGAACGATAAACTGTGTACCGGTACCCTACACAATTTTTAACGTAATAAATAAAACTTAAAACCAACCCTTGGTTACTATATAAACTTTTCAAGTTTGCTTATAATCTTTTCTTAAAATGATTCATTTTAAGCGTCTTATAATTATTTAGATGTTTAAGGATTTAACATTAACGAATAACAGTGATAGCAGCCATTTCCGGCTTCTCGGTCAAAATAAAAAAAATAATGATAATTTCATACCCCCCACTTATTCGCGGGTGGCATAACTTTTTATCGAGACCTCAACGATAATAACTCAAAAAATGAAAAAACTCTTACAATGAATGTAGATTAGGGAGCACTAAACCTTATTTTGGTGGCTTTACTAGTAAAAAAGTATTTATGCGATTTATATACCAACCGAGTCATCATAATAATACTGCCCGTGATGCAAAAAAAATATCGTAGCATAAATCAATATATGACCGGAACACAAAAACTGATACGTCAGTGATGAGGAACGCAATTATTTAATAAACAAAGGTGACGTAGTCTGCAATTTTCCAATGATACCGTGTTGCTGTACGCCATATTGCAGAACACGTTTTTTCGACATTTTAGGACATGCGCAGAACGGTGCGTGGACAAGTATTGTTATCCCTACTAAAAGTTACCTGCTCCCATGACTTGTTATTTTCCTCTATCAAAACATGGAGTTGAAGAAGTAATTTGTTGTTGATGACCAGATGATGGTCTTCTTCCTTTCCCACCAGCCAGAAAAGCCTCTCGAGTCTCTTGAGTAGAGCAGTGATTTTTCACCATCTCCTGAAAAAATGAAACAAAAATACACCAGGATCAAAATCAAAGAATACACCAGGACCAAAGGAAAAATATAACATAATACACCAAGACCAAGGGAACAATATCACCAAATACACCAGGACCAAGGGAACAATGTCACATAATACACCAAGACTATAATATCACATAATACACCAGGATGAAGGGATCAAAATCACATAAATACACCAAGACCAAGGGAACAATATCAAATAATATACCAAGGAAGATTTGACTTCATTTACTAACACCACTAACAGTCAACTGTTTTTAAACAACTTTCTTTCGAAATAGCTAAAATATAACCGTTTTTTACATCTATCAGTTGACCTCACTACAGAGTATTATTATGAATTCAATCTACGATGAGGCACGTGTATAACTTTAAGGTAAGAATATGTTTTATTCTATACAGTAACTTTGACTTTGAGTCTATCTGTTTGGAATTGTTTGGTTATCTGAACTAAACCTGGTCCCAAATTGTTTTGGAAAATCTCCAGTTGTTTTTTTCAAATGATATCAACTCTTGTTTTCTCAGATCTTCAAAGTGACTTAATTCCTATAATATTTGATAATTGTTCAAAATGAATTTGTTAAAATTTATATGTAAGGGAAATTAATTTTTAAATAATAATTATATTTTTAAATGCAGGAGTATACAGAATATTTATGGTCTCTTTAATAGTGATGCCCTTTTGGAGGACCCAAACTTAAGTCTGCATAGCCTAGAGGGAAATCCTCCCCTGATAGGTCTAAAAATTATTATTAAATAATACCTTATGGCAGAGGCGTAATTGGGGTTGGTGTCACCCGGTAGGGTAAACTCAAGGTGTCAAACGCCCCCCTCCCCTCTCTCTCCATATCCGACCTGCATTAAGAACCTCTTTACCAGATTATAAAAAAAAATCACTTATAAGTATTGTTTGTAAATTAAGTGCTAAAGCAACAAAAGACTTGAGAAGTAGATGAAAACAAGCCTTATAAATTAAAGGTAACAGCATTTAAAAACAAATGCAACAAAATTAATTTTATTGAAACATTAAATACGACCTAATTCTATAAAATAAAAAAAAGTCAGCCGAAGACTTCTTTATTAAAAAAATTATTATTTTGGTGTTAAAAAACAGATTATTAAGTAAAGACTGAAAGATATAAAGATTTATCTGTTCCCCTATCTATCAGAATTTACCTCCATGTTCCCCCGGATGTCTCAAAATTTAAGCAATCACTCTNCCGGATGTCTCAAAATCTAAGCAATCACTCTTAAAGTAGGTCACATTCTAAATGGTGTGTGGGGAGGGTAAAAAAATTTAAAAAGTGTCATGCTAGATGGGAGAGGGTGGGTAAAAATCATTTGCCGTCACTCATCTAAGTTACTTTACAAAAAATGCATTCAAAAATCCCTATTAGTTATTTCATTTAGTTCCTATTAAACACAACCTTCAAGTTACAGCCATACATGAAGATCTGGAAAATTATTATTTGTGATAAAACCTTAAATTGAAAATTGTGAAAGATGTATCATTTGATAAGATGTCACTTTTATGCATTTAACTGCTGAACAGTGAAGTGTTTTAAAAAAAAGTAAATTTTAATTAGTTGTTAATTTTAAAGATAATTTCATGTGGTCGGGTCCCTCAGATATTGTGACCTGTTTGGCCTTGGACAACTGTGGCAGGCATTTGGTGTCAGGATCAAGGGACACAACTTGCATGGTTATAGATATAACACAGCAGGTAATTTGAGGAAGTATTTTGAAGCTTCAGCTTGACTCATATTTTTAAAAAAGGGAATTGAAAACTTTTATTTTTAAAATACTGTTTGGATGGATGGATGCTTGGATGTGTGGCCGGATGCTTCGATGTGTGGCCGGATGCTTGGATGGGTGGGTGGATGCTTGGATGGGTGCTTGGATGGGTGGGTGCTTAGATTAGTGACTGGATGCTTGGATGGGTGCTTGGATAGTGGCTTGGATGGGTGGGTGGGTCCTTAGATGAGTGACTGGATGCTTGGATGGGTGCTTGGATAGTGGCGTGGATGGGAGGGGGGTGGGTGTGTTACAAGGGTGATAATTTGTTGTTTAGTGTGTGTGTCTTTAAGTTCTTTCATGGCTTCTATAAATGTACACAAGTTCAAAGATGGGCCAAATTTTGTCATGTGAAAATATCACTGCTACAGGCTGGAGTAAGTGTGAACTTGAACCCCAAGCCACTGCAGACGTTGTATGGACATGACTCAGAAATGACAGCCATTCACATATCTACAGAGCGGGATCTGTTTGTCTTAGCATTAAAGGTACCACAACAATGTTCTCCCTTGTGCTATTATTACAATGCTCTAATTCAGTGGCTTACAACTTTTTTGACTTGTTGGGCCCTTTTTAGAATCAATATTTCTATGGTGGAGCCTAGTAGACCTACTCTGTTTCAACTACAGTTTCATTTAACTTTTATTTATTTATTTTGTTGAGCAGCCTCTGAAATTTGTACAATTAGTACTTAGGGCTCTGCTGAGCATAGTTACCACAATAAACTCAACATAGTTACTTTAATAAACTCAACAACATTACTTCAATAAACTCAACATATTTACTTCAATAAATTCAATATAGTTACTTCAATGAACTCAACATAGTTACCGGTACTTCAATAACATTACTTCAATAAACTCAAAATAGGTTACTTCAATAAACTCAACATAGTTACTTCAATAAACTCAGCACAGTTACTTTAAATTTTCAAGACCTTTTCATATTTTCCCAGGATGGAACGGTCATTCTCCACACTGTACTGAAAGGTATACCATGATCTTGAGAGCACCGTCGCAGCTTGGCTAGACACTGGACATCCCTCTGATATCTATCTTGGACACTGGTCAGATTGTGCTGTACTGCTGGAGATGGAGAAGAAGGCAGGGGAGGGAAGAAAGAGACAGCAGGTTGGTGCTTAATGGTGTGCTTGTGAATGACCACCGGAGGAAAACTTTTCCACAAACAAAAACATTTGTTTCTACTTGTTTTGATGCCAAGAAATACTTTGCCTTCTATATATATTTACTTGTTTGGTTCCAGGAAAATCTTTGCCTTCCATACTTTATCTGTTCCAAGAATGAATCAGTGTCCTTCATGTGTTTACTTGTTTAATTCCAGAAAAGACTTTGCCTCCCTTCGTATTCAGTCAATGGCAAACATTTGTTCAGTGGACCACTCAAGTACAGCCTGGGAGACTTGTGTGTGTCTGGGGACCATCTCATCCTGGGCAACACGGCGGGTCAAGTCGTTGTTATGGAGATCTTTGGGTAAGGGGCTTAAGTGATTATAATGGAGATCTTTGGTTAAGTGGGTCAAGCCATTATAATGGACAACTCTTGGTAAGTGGGTCGGGGCAGGTGAGCTCATTATTAAGGGAAGGAGACCTATTTAGGTAAGTGGGTCAATGCAGCTTAACTCATTGGCTCTGCTTTTACCTTTTGGCTGCGGTAGGTAACTTGTTTTAAAAGAACCACATTAAGCTGTTCAAAGGAGAAATAAAAAAAAAAAAGGATTTCTTTATTTCTTTTATGTGCTAATCAAGAGGCTTAATCAAGTGATCAATTTACTAATTAATGAAAATGAGCAATTTGAAAGGTCATGTTAAGTGATCAGTTTGAAAGGTCCAGTTAAGTGATCATTTTGAAAATTCCAGTTAATTGATCAGTTTGAAATGACCAGTTAAGTGATCAATTTGAAGGGACCAGTTAATTGATCAATTTGAAAGGACCAGTTAATTGATCAATTTGAAAGGACCAGTTAAGTGATCAGTTTGAAAGATCCAGTTAAGTGATCAATTGGAAGGTCTCGTTAAGTGATCAATGGGAAAGGACCAGTTACGTGATCAATTTGAAAGGTCCAGTTAAGTGATCAATTTGAAAGGTCCAGTTAAGTGATCAATTTGAAAGGTCCAGTTAATTGATCAAATTGAAAGGTCCAGTTAATTGATCGATTTGTAAGGTCCAGTTTATTTGATCAATTTGAAAGGTCCAATTAAGTGATCAATTTGAAAGATCCAGTTAAGGGATCAATTTGAAAGGTCCAGCTTAGTGATAAATTTGAAAGATCCAGTTAAGTGATCAATTTGAAAGGTCCAGTTAATTGATCAATTTGAAAGGTCCAGTTAATTGATCGATTTGTAAGGTCCAGTTTATTTGATCAATTTGAAAGGTCCAGTTAATTGATCAATTTGAAAGGTCTAGTAAAGTGATCAATTTGAAAGGACCAGTTAAGTGATCAATTTGAAAGGTCCAGTTAATTGATCAATTTGAAAGGTCCGGTTAATTGATCGATTTGTAAGGTCCAGTTTATTTGGTCAATTTGAAAGATCCAGTTATCAATTTGAAAGATCCAGTTAATTGATCAATTTGAAAGGTCCAGTTAATTGATCGATTTGTAAGGTCCAGTTTATATGGTCAATTTGAAAGATCCAGTTAAGTTATCAATTTGAAAGGTTCAGTTTAGTGATCAATTTGAAAAATCCATTTAAGTGATCAATTGGAAAGGCCCAGTTAAGTGATCAATTTGAAAGGCCCAGTTGAGTGATCAATTTGAAAGTACCAGTAAAATGATGAATTTAAAAAGGTCGGGCTAAGTGATCAATTTGAAGTTTCAAATTTAAGTCATATGTTGCAGTAGTCAGTTTAAACACTATGTCATTTTTTTTGTCTCCCATCAGGTTGAGACCTATCACACCCATGGAACTCTTGGTGCCCATTCAGTGTGTCACTCTATCCAATGGCAGCAGTCATATCCTTTCTGAGCTATTCTGAGCTAAAGGATGGGAAGCCTATCATTGTGGGCAACAAGGAGAAGTGAGATTACCGGAGGCTGGTCTCATGGCAGACATCTTGGGGAAGTGAGATTACCGGAGGCTGGTCTCATTGCAGACATCTTGGGGAAGTGAGATTAGCGGAGGCTGGTCTCGTTGCAGACATCTTGGGGAAGTGAGATTTTTAGAGGCTGGTCTCATGGCAGACATCTTGGAATAGAGGCTTAATTTGTACGGTTGCACAGGGAAGTGAGCACTAAAACAATTCTGTTGTAAAACATGTGATTTTCTATCATAAGTGATTTAAAGAAGGATTTACAAACTTTTAGTGTGCTGTGAGAGTAAGCTGTAGATAAACCAAGAAGCTGGAAATATTTTGGTTCAACTTCTACTATTATTATTATTATTTTTTAATTATGATTTTGCTGCTAAATCTGTACATAGATGATTTCTTGTTGACTGTCCTAACGCCATGGTAAAAAAATGTGCCGTACAAACGCTGAGATAATATGTTATGGTGAAAATACTGGTATAACCACTGCAGTGCATACATTGTGGTACAAACACAGGGGATGCAAACACCATGATAAAGACACTGGTATAACCACTGCAGTACATACATTGTGGTATAAACACAGGGTACAAGTACCAACAGCATGGTAAAAACACTGTCATAACCACTGAAGTACATACATTGTGGTACAAACACCTGGGTACAAACACTAAGATACAAATTAAATACCATGTTAAAAAAACACAGCATTATAAACACCACTTGATGGAGTGTTGACACAAGTCAAGTAAGCTTTGTAAAAGCACATTTTAAAGCTGCAATTTGTGTATGTGGTTTGAGCTTGCTGTTAAAATTATTTCCTTGGACATTACACTGCAGCATGAACTGTATATTATGTATTGTGCTGTTAGGACAACTCCTTTTGTTTGTAAACATCAGTGTTTAGTTCCTGTTTGAAAGCCGGGGAAATGAATCCTGAATGGCTAGTGCAGTATCCTTACTCCATCAGTGTGTGACAACTCATCTTGTCCTGGAGCTCACCCCTCCCCCCACCCTTGCCCCTCCCCTTCCACCTCCTTAAAGTCTATATAGTCTTTTGACAGCAGGTTGGGAATCCCTAACCTAGAAATAACTTTAAAAGCTGTAAAGTTTTTGTAAATGTTGCTGCTGATGCTGTCTGTGGTCCAATATTTATTATTTCCTTTAAAAAAAAAACATTATTTCTTTTTTTGTGTGTGCCTAATGAGTTGTTGCTAAATAAATAAATGCTTTCATAATTTATTTATTTGTTGAATGCTTGTTGACACAAAACTCTGTATGAATTTGTACTACATGACCACATCAATTTGTGATTTTAAAAAAAATTTTGTTTGTTTTTTGCATTGTGAATGAACAAGTTTCCAGATTGCATTATTTTAGAACTTGCTCTTTTCTGCACTTGTTATTCTTATCATGTTGTAATTTATGTTAAATATATGTCCCACAGAAATTATTTTACCCTTTGACCAAAATATTATGCAGGAAATAATCGATTTACTAATCAAAGCGAGCGATCTGGAAATAATAATTAATTAAAACAATGATTTTAGTCAGCAGGAGACATGATATTTCACTTCAAAGAACTTCATCCATGAATTTCCTTTTATTTCGTTTCTTACATTTGAATTTGCATATTTAACAAATTGTCCAATTACAGTATTTATTATATCTTTTCCTGTATTGTTTATTCTATCCCCTTTAACATACTCAAGTGCACAAGTTTAGTTTAATTATTTATATTTAGTCCAGCTTTGCCAATGGCTCTACTAAAATGTTAATTTATAATGAAATGGTCTAACTCTGTTGTATGAAGTGGTTTGTGATGGCTTCATTGTTTGTTGTTTTTTTTTAAAGAAAAACAAGATTGATCAATAAATAATGTTAACATAGAAATTGTTCTCTAAAATATTAGAAAATAACAAAAAACAGAAATGTGAACCAAAAAAATAAATATAAAAAAGTACAATACCAATAAAAAGATACCCTTTTTTTGTTTGCTATGGTTTATTCAGAGATTAGATAGTTCAAAATGTAATGAAATGTAAAGCTAAGTCTAAAAAATTACAAAGAACAAAGAAGAATTTGTCAAGGATTTTTTTCTTGTTATTTAAGTCGTTTTTGTGGAAGGGGAGGCGGGGGGGCGGGGGGGGGGTTGTTGTTTTTTGTGTGATGTGTTAAGACATGATAATTTCTGACCTCTGGTGGCTTATGTTATGGTCTATGTTAAAGGGAAATTCTTTTTATTGTAAATACTTGTCTAGTCTACTTGGTTAGATTAGAGATTTATTAAGTAACATAGGAACAAAGGTCGCCTGAAGGAACATAGGAGCAAAGGTCGCCTGAAGTAACATAGGAACAAAGGTCACCTGAAGTAACATAGGAACAAAGGTCACCTGAAGTAACATAGGAGCAAAGATCGCCTGAAGTGACATAGGAACAAAGGTCGTCTGAAGTGACTTAGGAACAAAGGTCATCTGAAGTGACATAAGAACAAAGGTCGTCTGAAGTAACATAGGAACAAAGGTCGTCTGAAGTAACATAGGAACAAAGGTCGTCTGAAGTAACATAGGAACAAAGGTCACCTGAAGTAACATAGGAGCAAAGATCGCCTGAAGTGACATAGGAACAAAGGTCGTCTGAAGTGACATAGGAACAAAGGTCTTCTGAAGTGGCATAAGAACAAAGGTCGTCTGAAGTAACATAGGAACAAAGGTCGTCTGAAGTAACATAGGAACAAAGGTCGTCTGAAGTAACATAGGAACAAAGGTCCTCTGAAGTGACATAGGAGCAAAGGTCAGCTGATGAGGGCTTCTGATTCATTTAGGGGGTGGGGCCCTGAAAGTGATACATACATCATTTGTTAAGTTAATTGAATTCTTGAATTGGGGCCCTAAAAGTTATACATACATCATTTGATAAGTTAATTGAATTCTTGAATTGGGGCCCTAAAAGTTATACATACATCATTTGATAAGTTAATTGAATTCTTGAATTGGGGCCCTGAAAGTTATACATACATCATTTGATAAGTTAATTGAATTCTTGAATTGGGGCCCTGAAAGTTATACATACATCATTTTATAAGTTAATTGAATTCTTGATTTGGGGCCCTAAAAGTTATACATACATCATTTTATAAGTTAATTGAATTCTTGAATTGGGGCCCTAAAAGTTATGTCTGTAGTCTCCTCATTACATCTCCACCCTTTAGTCTGTGACATGTCTGTAGCCTTCTCATAATATCTCCACCCTTTGGTCTGTGACATTTCTGTAGCCTTCTCATAATATCACCACTCTTTTGTCTGTGACATGTCTGTAGCCTCCTCTTAATATCACCACCCTTTAGTCTGTGACATTTCTGTAGCCTTCTTATAATATCTCCACCCTTTAGTCTGTGACATGTCTGTAGTCTCATCATAAAATCTCCACCCTTAAGTTTGTGACATGTCTGTAGCCTTCTCATAATATCTCCACTCTTTGGTCTGTGACATGTCTGTAGCCTCCTCATAATATCACCACCCTTTAGTCTGTGACATTTCTGTAGCCTTCTTATAATATCTCCACCCTTTAGTCTGTGACATGTCTGTAGTCTCCTCATAAAGTCTCCACCCTTAAGTTTGTGACATGTCTGTAGCCTTCTCATAATATCACCACTCTTTTGTCTGTGACATGTCTGTAGCCTCCTCATTATAGCTCCACCCTTTGGTCTGTGACATGTCTGTAGTCTCCTCATTATATCACAAGCATTTGGTCTGTGAAATGTCTGTAGCCTCCTTATAATTTTTCCACCATTTGGTCTGTGACATGTCTGTAGCCTCCTCATAATATCTGAACCATTTGGTCTATGAAATGTCTGTAGCCTCTTTATAATTTTTCCACCATTTAGTCTGTGACATGTCTGTAGCCTTCTCACAATATCTCCACCCTTTAGTCTGTGACATGTCTGTAGCCTTTTCATAATATCTCCACCCTTTAGTCTGTGACATGTCTGTAGCCTTCTCATAATATCTCTACCCTTTAGTCTGTAGCTTTCTCATAATATCTCCACCTTTTGGTCTGTGACATGTCTGTAGCCTCCTCATAATATCTTCACTCTTTTGTCTGTGACATGTCTGTAGCCTCCTCATGATATCTCCACCCTTTGGTCTGTGAAATGTCTGTAGCCATAATTATGGCTAAGGGGCGTTCGTACATTTAGTGTTTCTTGATTTATGCGGACTAAGTGTAATATCTGGTCAGTTTGGGTTCCTTTAATGTCTGGTCAATTTGGGTTCCTGTAATGTCCGGTCAGTTTGGGTTCCTGTAATGTCGTCAGTTCGGGTTCTTTTAATGTTCTCAGTTTGTGTTCTTGTAATGTCTGGTCAGTTTGGTTTCCTGTAATGTCCTCAGTTTGGGTTCCTGTAATGTCGTCAGTTTGGGTTCTTGTAATGTCGTCATTTTGGGTTCTTGTAATGTCTGGTCAGTTTGGGTTCTTGTAATTTCTGGTCAGTTTGGGTTCCTGTAATGTCTGGTCAGTTTGGGTCCCTGTAATGTCTGGTCACTTTGGGTTCCTGTGATTTCCTCAGTTTGGGTACCTGTAATGTCGTCAGTTTGGGTTCCTGTAATGTCATCAGTTTGGGTTCCTGTAATGTCCTCAGTTTAGGTTTTTGTAATGTGTGGTCAGTTTAGGTTCCTGTAATGTCTGGTCAGTTTAGGTTCCTGTAATGTCTGGTCAGTTTAGGTTCCTGTAATGTCTGGTCAGTTTGAGTTCCTGTAATGTCTGGTCAGTTTAGGTTTTTGTAAGTCAGTTTAGGTTCCTGTAATGTCTGGTCAGTTTGAGTTCCTGTAATGTCTGGTCAGTTTAGGTTTTTGTAATGTCTGGGCAGTCCCCCCCCCCCAGCAAAATGAGTATGACACTAAAAAGGAATGTTAATTTATTCGGCAAACCGATGCGATATATATGCTCTGAACTTTTCTATACAACACGGTCAGATGATCTATTATCAGATTATTAGTGGGCCAAGTGAAGTCTGTACCTACGCAAACGGGTTCAGCGTTCACACAGCAGTGAAAAATATAGCAGACTACGTGACTGTGATTTCTGATTCGATTCCCTGTATCTCAATCGCTCTCTCCATTCCCAACAACACCCCACCAAATATATTTTAGTCTCCATTGTTTATATACATCAGCTGACCGACCTAGCGTTTGTTATAGTAAACTGACATGCGAAGCGGTTGGCCTAACTTTTTAATACTTCTTTTCTATATTGTATTTGCATGTTGTTGTCTTTTAAATAAATAATAATATTAAAATATCTCATTTGCAAAAAAAAAAAAAAAAATAAGTAATGATGAATTAATTCCACTAATTTTTTAAAATAATCAACAACTGGTTTTTTTCTTTCAAAAGCAAAAATATGGAATTTTAGCGCCTAGCCCCTTTTGAAATGGGCGTTTAATAAATTGATGTTAAATCGAAAATGTTCTTATTGTTTTGACCAGAGAAGGATCATTTGGTTAGAGAACATGCCGTTAGATATCTTATTATTGGAATACGTAAAAGCAAGCACCTAGAGTCAGTGTGTGCGGTAAGATGTGTATTTAATCGTTAGAATATGTCCGTTACGACACTAGAATGTGATTGTGGATACTTATCATGTGGATACTTATCACCCTGTTGATCTACAACTGCACAGTCGAATGTGGAGTTTGCTGTTTGTGTTATATGCATGGGTGGGGGAGGGGAGATTGTTAGATGGTCGAGTGCGCTTTGTTTTCTTACTGTTGAATGTCCAGCCAGGCAAGTTTGGAAATGTGAAAGCAAAGGAGAACCTCACATTTAGCATTCGATTGGCATAAAGATATCAGGAACTTTAAATGTTTAGATTGAACCAATTAAAGTTATAACTTTATGGAATATCAACTGATTAGAAAAAGACAGATGATTGGATACTCTTACTGTAGACTTGTAAAAAAAATCAGATTAGAGTTGTGAAACCAAAAGTTATTCTATTGTTTAGGGATGGTGATAGTTGCTGGTTAACACTAAATAATGATGATGCACAATGATTTGAAAGAATAAGACTTATCATCATATGCACGTTGAAAATTAGAACAAATGAGAAAAGAGTACATTGACATGTATGCAGGGTTTCTTTCAGGCCAATCTCGGGGGGGGGGGGGGGGGGTTGTTGATGATGCAACCTCTCCACTCCTCTGTCATATGGCATTTTCTCTAAGTATCCTGCCCAGCGTAGCTTGCTGTTTGTCATTTCTATTATCGTGGATCCTGATATAGACTGTGCAATTCCTGGTTGGTTCGTATTGTCCATCCATAGTCACCCTTTGTTGGTCCATATATTTTCCTGAGAACTTTCCTCTCCCATGTGTTTAATAGGTTTTCTGCTGTTTTTGTGAGGGTCCAAGTTTCACTTGCGTATGTTACAAATGGTCTGATTACATTTTTATAAATAGTTTTCTTTGTTTCTCTTTTAATGTTTTTACTTTTGAGTAATTTCTGACTATTGAAGTATGCCCTGTTTCCGGCTGATATTCTTTCTTTATTTCTGCAAGTAATTTGTTTCTTTCATTTAATAAAGATCATAGGTATTTGAATTTATGTACGTTTTCATACTTGTGGTTTTTAATTTTATTGGGTTAATCTGTCTGTTCTTCTCTACTCATAGTCATGTATTTTGTTTTTTGTTTGTTAACTTCCAACTCTGCTGGTAGTGATGCGTCTTCTAATTCAATAAAAGATTTTGATACGTCTTTAATAATTTTCCCTAGCAGTGCTATGTCATCAGCATATGCAAGATACTGAAGGGGTTGATTGTAGAGAGTGTCTTGGGTTTCCCTCAGAAAGTATCCTGTTTTTGTTCCTCGATGTCAATATGTATACTTTTTATAACTCTCTCTAATGTTAGGTTTAATAGCATCCAAGACAGTAGGTCTCCTTGTCTTAGGCCCGTCTAATATGAAATTCCCTTGAATATTCTCCTTGAACCTCGATTTTGCTTTTTTGAGTTGTTCATTATTTCATTATTAAATGTATCAGTCTTGTCAGTTTTAAGGAACTTTGGAAATGATCTGGGTCGTCCAACTATAAAATTTATTAGTTCTGATCTATAAACTGTAGCTTCTGTTACTAAAATTTAGTCAGTCCTTGCCCAACCTCTGGGCCTGGCTCGAAGTCTAACAGTAGGCCTAATTCAGTATCACTAGAACTAGTATCAGATCATCATCAGTATCACTTAAATCCTCTCCTAAAAAGCTTTCAAAAATGTTCCTGGTATTTTTACCTGAAGGCCCAGCCATAGCTTCACCCATTTAAGCTAAAAAAAACTGGGACAATGAACAGCGATATAAAACTCTGATTAAAAGTACTTATACTTATTGTTAAGTTATCAACAAACAGCAAACAAACCTGGAAGATGATTAATAAAAGGAAGTGGCTATAATTCCGGGTAAATATTGGATTGGAAAGTGCTACCTGGCCGCCACAGTACAGAAAGAAAATATCTGCCGATATTTTGGGCCCCCCACAGTTCGTGGGTTAGACAAACAATTCCCAAACCGTTGGCACAGCCGGTTGTGAGCTTTTGACAAATCATATGGTCAAGACTCAATCAATAAATTTCCCCCAGCTAACATTATCAAGGCATGGGTCCACTGGATCCACCATGTGGTTGTGGTAAAGCCTGGGCAAAGAGCACACCCTTATTTCATTAAGGTTCTCTCAGGTATGGACCAGAATTGAAAAAGGATAGTGAATCCTGACCCGGGCGGTGGTCTTGAATAATTAGTCCTTAATAATGTCATTTGAAACCAATAATCATATCCGAATGACAAAGAAAAGTGAGTTTTATTGCAGACCCCAGCAATGCAAGAGCTGTTTATTTTTTTAAGTGCAACATCAACAAAAAAACTGTAAATAAAAAATGCAAGCAGGAATAATACAACAATTATAAAGAAGTCATACGCATCTTTTCAAACGCACCTAGTTCTGAAATGTAAAAAAAAACCTGTTTTAAAATGAAATTAAAGGAAATATTGATGGATTTAGTTGGATAAGGAAAAAAAAAGCACAAACACTCAATTCATTCTTGAAAGTCAATATTTTGAGATAAAATTCTTCAGTAAAGCTTAAATTCACAATTTTCAACACTTTTTAGACTTGCACCATTGCCCCACACAATGATGCAGTTTTTCTAAAAAAAACTATATGCAAAGTGGTATAACTTATTTTACGTGGACTTAAAATTCTCCCTTTATGTTCACGCATCATACCTCACCTACACACTTCAGTCGACACACCTACATACAGCAGTCATCACACTACAACACACCGACACACTGGAGTCGACTCACTAATGTGGTGCTAGTTAGATCAATATTTACCGTGGACAAAGACTAGGTTCATTTGAAGGCTTGGCATAGGTCCACTCTTCCAGTCATAACCTGATGTTGTACCAGTAGCCCACAGTTCAGATCCTTCCATAGCTCCTGAGAAAGGAATGATTTAGTGGCATAGATGTATCAATGCAGGCTCGTAAGGAGTCAAATCGGGGGATTACTGTCCTCCCACTAACTTTGCCAAGAAATGGTTCAATACCACAGACAGATATATTAGTGGACATTGATCAATTACTGTCCCCTTCTAACATGGTCAAGGCTGATTCATTAGCACAGATGTATGAAGGGGCTCTTGTCAAAACTATTTTATGTTAGTCAATAACTGACCCCCCCCACTTCATGACATCATTTTAAACAAAAAATTACCTCCTTAAAGTTAAAGATATTTATTATAAATATCTTGTATGCGAAATCAAAGATTGAATCTACTGTTTCATCTATATGTTTCCATATTACCATAACAGGGAAGTATGTTTTCATTCACGACTAGGAAAAAATAGCTTCACTTACTATAACATGCACTTCCAATATATGCCAATCCCAAGACACGCTGTGGCATTGGGTACTGAGAGAACAAGTGATAATGGCAGCAGGGTTGTTTGATGTAACTGGCGGCATAGGCAAAATACTGGAAAGAAATTATTATCATGTTAACAAATTAACTATAGTGCATGCTGAGACAAGTGGGATGGATTAGTGGGGTGGGGGGGGGACATCACACCAAAATGTAATCCAATCTCATTATTTATTTGAAACCACAGATATTGCTTTGATTGTTGATAAAAATTTCAGTTCAATGAGATGGGAAAAGACTCTAGGATCTTTTTGAGTCTGTACAGGCTGGGTATATCCTGGTTGCACAGGTACTTGGGTAAGATGTTACCTACTCAAATCAGGAGGAGACACTACATAAATTACACATTTGGGTCTCAAAACTACCTGTTGACAAATGCAAGGGCTGACTACCTAACTCTTGGTTTATCATAAAAGTATCTGCTTGGGTTCAGGCCAGCACCTTAAATTCTTCTTTGCCTCCCATTGTCTAGGGCAGGGGTCACCAAACTTTTTCATGGCGGGCTGGATGAACTGGCCGGATAACGTAAAAAAATAATGAGCGCGGGCTGGATAATCATTCTGTACAATACTTACAAGCAAGTTCAAGTACCGTTGGGGGGCCGGATGAACTGGCCTCACCGGCCCGCAGTTTGGTGACCCCTGACCTAGGATCTACAACACTGTTGAACTTTATCAAAACTTGCTTTCAACAAGAGCAGCAACAACTCACAAAAGAAAGACTACAATTCTTTGATAGCTACACGCTCTGTTTCCAACACCAAGCTGCGCACAGATAAAAATCCTTTTTACATTAACCCAAATGGCAGACACTGGAACTCACAACTGTCAGTCACTACAATCGACAATCAAGAATACTTATCCACCATCAAAGCGAGAGAAAAAAACCATAAGAGAACTCACTAATACTCTCATGGTTAGTTTTTTTTAAATTTCCCTTTCGTCCATTGGCATTTAGACATAATACAAACTCAACTCAAAACTCACAGACACAAAAAATTTCACACTAAACACAGTGATTCCCATACCTTGACAGTTTACCCCTCTTATTGCTTTCAGCTCTTAGGGGGTTCTGTCCAGTTTTTTGTTCCCATTCAGTAAATCTTATTTATAAATACTTTCACTGTGAAATTCATTTACCCGTAATTTTGCACCAGAATCCCAGTCAAATTTTTCATTAAAATGATGACGACGGTAATTTGTGTTTTTTTCTGTATATGTGGTATACATTGTCAGCTGTTGAAATACACATATAAAAAAACAAATGAAATAATTTTTATAAATATTGTCAATTTTAAAATATTTCCTTATTGTTAAAAAAAGCTGCAACAGGGTGAATAAAATTTTTTTAAAAGTTTTGGAGTACATGACTTTGTTAGAAATAAAGATAATTCTTTAAAAGACTTTCGTAAGTGCTACAAGCATTTCATAATATTTAGTGTATTTTTTTTAAATTTTAACCCCGGGGGGGGGGGGGCAAGATTCATTTTAATGAGCCCCCCTTTCTGTTCCCAACTATCAAACCCATTATTTTCATCATTAAAATAGTATCAAAGCACATTTTGGCCCCCCTATCTGTCTGGCGACCAGGGACATCTGCGCCCACCCCCCCCCCCAGCTGGACTGTTTTAATATTAGCATCATCACACCTGTATTTCTATTCAATCTATTATCTATTTTCATAGTTTTCAATACTATGGATTCAGATTCAATTTGCAAATTAATTTGGAAAAAAAAAAAGACTTGCTCTACTTGAAATATACCATTTAATTCAATTTAAGTGGAGAAACATGGACAGGAAGCATGATGAAGTTCACAGGGTTAGTTTTATGGTGTGAAGTTATCCTGCAGATGTTATTTCAAGAGTACTAAAAATCAAAGCTGACATGTAGCTTAAAGTTTAGTCAGAGATACATAAAACTGATAGGTCCCTACGCCAACTTTCTTTTAGTGACACGCCAAAAGATGCTGTGCTGGTACATTAGTGCATTCCACTATTAAAAAAAAATATGTACTGCCTAGACATGAAATCCATGTAATCAATAAGACATCAAACTTATGAAACACAAAAAACTACAACAAATAAGCAGAGATCAAAAAATTAAATTTAAAAAAAAACTCAGTTTGGTACATCAGCAGATAGTACGAATGAAGTTATTGAGAAGCTATGCATTGTCTATGACTACCATGCTCGAAAGCTGAGCTTATTTCACAAAACAAGCCTCAGAGAAATCCTAATGGTAGGATAAGGTAAAATTGAGGTTCTCATACAGGCAGGTCTGCCCAGCATCTATACCAATTTAATGCAGTTCTTACTAAGCAGGTGATGACATGAAATGGTTAAAGACACCCTGAAAGTCCAGAAAAGCCCAAGTTACTATTGCACCTGAAGAAAATTTTGTGCCAGAATGAGTCTCACCAGCTATTTGCGCACCCACAGACACAATTAGCCCCAGAACCAATTTGACGATTTGAATAAAGTGATCCTCATCGAATCAAACTAAAAAAAGAAGATAGATAGTAAAATGGTTGGCTGTCCTTTATTTCTATGGCCACTGGTTAAATGTAGTCTTTTTTAAGTGTGAACAAAATTCAGAAATCTAAACAAGGCATAGAGACAATCCAAAAATCTTCATTACACCAGACCTGTTTACCTGTAAACTCCTAAAATCGTACAATATCATCATAAAATCGTACAATACAGTATCCTAATAGTAAATTATAAATAAACATACAATATATAAAACCTATAACTACTCGCATGACAAGTCTAATGGGACCAAATTAAGCTCTCCTAAAAATAGGGAACTGAAGATAAAAAGTAGATGATTGCCAATGGGTAAAGGGAGTAGGGGATATTGAAAATTATACAGCTGTTTTGTGCATTCCAATTATAGATTTCAACAGCCCCCTTTAGATCCTATAAAATACGTCAAAATCTAATATTGCTGCGCGGACCAGCTGAGAATGCATTCTCTGTTTTCTTGCCGCCGTTCAGCCGTAAGACATAATTATATCATAAAATTACGCCAGATAGCAACGAAAATGCGAGGAGGGGCCATCTTTATAAAACATACCCACAAAGTCAAATTTTACACCTCGCCCCCTGTTGCATGCAATCGTAAAATACATCTCAAAATGGTACATTGCGTGCCAAAATTGTAAGAGTAAACAGGTCTGTTACACTGAAGTGTATGAAAATCAAAGAAGGGAGAGCCAAATGAAATTATGTTTTTTTTTTTAAAAATGTCACCCTGGTTTCATATTACTGATAAAATAGGTAAAATAAAATCCCTGGAAATTTTTAAATATTTTTCTCAACATTTACAACACATTTTAAAATATTTTAAACATTTTAAAAAATTTACTTTTTGATGTTTAGTGAAATTACATCAAAATGTTATCTGATCTGAAGGTATTATTTCTTTTATTAAAGTGTGTTTTTATGATTCTTATTTTTTAAGTATTTTGCTTTGTTTCACACACCAGTGTTGTGCTTACCATTCCTACTTGTATCCTTAATCCTGGTATTCGTTGATTGATATGTCCATAGAAATAGGACCTGCTGTAAATATTATCTGCGTTGTGTATAAAGCTGATCTGGGAAAGACAGCAGTAATATTTATATTGTCTTTAACACAAATCCTATCTGTAAAAACTGAAGAGCCAAATTGTTTGATACAGAACTGAAAACTATCTTATCTGGATTACAGTAAGGATATGCAACAATTAATATGTAGGTATAACTGGATTTAGAACAATAACCCAAATGTCCAAGTATGCCTACTTCCCAAATAGTATTTAGTTTAAACATTCATTACCAATACCGGGTATTATACAAAAATAAGAAAATCAATTCATAGAATTGACATACTACTAGAAGGTCTGATTGTCATTAAAGTTAGTATTCATTTGAAATTCGAAGAACTTTCTTGCTATCCACATAAACTTGAACTTAAAAAAGTTACATAGTTTCTATACATTTGAGAAAATATAATGTTTAATTCATGTTACCACTACTTATTTATCTATAAAATTTAGTGGCAAGATATTAAAAAGTGATCCAAACTTTAAAGCTTTAAATGCCCCCAAAAATGTAAACTAGAGGTTAAGAATGGAATAAGTTGCTAAATGCCTCTATTTTTAATTTAAGTTATTGCAGTTTTCTTTATGTGCCTTACACCTACCAGCAGTGAAGAACATGTTACATAATTTTTTCCACATCTCCCTTTAAACAAGTCATAGTCTCCAACAAGGTAGATCAGACAGGTGTTGTCTTGTTCTGCCTTCTTTCGTCTAATGTGGCTATCTGCATAAACATAAACTAATTATAATTTCTCTTTGTCCACACCATAGAATTCTGGTTACCTTATCAGCTAAGAGTAAGATGGTTCAAAAGTGTAAGTAGCCTTCTGGTATGGAATTATTAACAAAAGAAAGGCAGGTATCTTTAGCAACCAGGTAAATCTTGAGTAAAAAAAAAAAAAAAAAAAAAAAAAAAAAAAAAAAAAAAAAAAAAAAAAAAAAAAAAAAAAAAAAAAAAAAAAAAAAAAAAAGCCACCCAAGTTGAAGAAGAGCTGTTCACATAAAATATAATTATTTGCAATTCAAGTAAGCAGCCGCAATCTTCAATGTAAAGTTTTTTCTTCCTCGTGTTCTAAAAAAAATAAATAAAGCAAAGTGTAAGTAGCCTTATGGTATGGAATTATTAACAAAAGAAAGGCAGGTATCTTTAGCAACCAGGTAAATCTTGAGTAAAAAAAAAAAAGAAAAAAAAAAAAAAAAAGAAAGCCACCCAAGTTGAAGAAGAGCTGTTCACATAAAATATAATTATTTGCAATTCAAGTAAGCAGCCGCAATCTTCAATGTAATGTATTTTTGTTCTCGTTGTGTTCTAAAAAAAAAAAATAAAGCAAATCAAATTCATAGTTGCAAACAATTGTTTAATGCTTCAGAAAAAAATTAATTTTATTGCCACCTCTGAATTAATGAGTTCTGGATGACATAAAATGGAGCTAAACACAAACAAATAGAAAAAAAAATAAATAAAAAAATTTAAACTGTGTCGACAGAGGATCATAGCTTAAATTGTAATGAAACTGAAAACCGTCATCTTTATTTGAAACCACTGGATGTTTAGCACCACTGAGGATGGGCATGAGCAGAAATATAAAATATATAGATTAATACAAACTTTATCAAATGCAATTAAGATATTTATAAAAATGACAAATATATATATACTTTTGAAGATCATTGGATGTCTTGCACCACTAAGGATGGGCGTTCTTTTGTACTAGACAGTGCTTCTCATTCAGATTGTTTAGTGAAATGGGACACAAGATGCATGAGAAACATTTCACTTTTAGCTTCCAAAACTAAAGCGGTACTTATCCTCAAGTTTGTAAATTAAATTATTTTTGATTGGATAAGTAGGCAGACACCCAAAGTATGTTGGAAACTTCTGTAGCAGCACATATAATTCTCATTATATAGTGTGATGATATTCCAGTATTATATTTTTGAGTTTAAAGATAAAGAAAATTTTTTTTTAACAGGATGCAGCGTTTCAAACAGCGTGAATCTCCATATAAGATTTTGCAGCATCATTGGTTATAATAAATAGATTTATAAAGTAATTTTCTATAATCACAACAAAAAATTAATAATTACATAATGTATGTTGTAAAGAAATGTAATATTTTAATATTTCCAATATCAATTTGGCTTAACCCACGAACTGTGGTCGGCCGAAAAAAAACGGCTGACATTCTCGTTCTGTACTGTGGCGGCCGAAAAAATCGGCAGATAAAAAACACTGTCTGAAAGCAACTTCCAATCCAATGTTTAGCCGGAATTATAGCCACTTCCTTTTATTAATAGTTAAATCATCTTCCAGTTCAAGCTGTTTCGTGGTAACGGGAAAATAAATACTTTTTAATCAGAGTTTTGAATAGCTGTTTTTTTTAAAGCTAAAATGGATGACACTATGGCTGGGTCTCCAGTGCAAGAACTAATAGAAATAGTTTGAAAGCTTTTTAGGAGAGGTTTTAAGTGATAATGATGTTGATTTTAACATTCCTCATGATGATATCAGTTGAGATTATTCTTTTCCTGAATTTTTTACTAGTTTTAGTAATACTGAAGTAGGCCTACTGAGGCTACTGTGACTTCGAGCCAGGCTCGGAGGTTGGGCAAGGACTGACTGAATTTTAGTCACAGAAGCTACAGGGTATAGTTCAGAACTAATAAATTTTATAGTTAAACAAACCAAATCAGTTCCACAGTGCCTTTTTAAATGTTTAACTATTTTGCCTGAGATTTTGTATCTTGTACTTGGTATTAGCGGTGGTCCCCAGTTTCTTATATAAATGACTTAAAATTGATTGCTTTCAGTGTTTAATTACAATCAAAACCTTAGCAAACTCTACATTTTCTGAAAGATAAATGAATTGGCCACAACATTAAATTTGTGTTTTAAGTGTATCTTTAAAAATGGATGTAATGAGCACTTGAAAACAAGACATTTTGTTGATTTTATTTTCTTGAGAATTCCAAGGTCAAGGACACTGAGCAAATTTTTTTTACAGGGTGGGCAATATGGCCAACTTTATCCCCATCCATTTACCTTTCTAAAAATATATACTTATTGGGGTATTGTATCAATATTTCTATGTCATTTAATGCAATTTCAAATGTCACACAAAATGCTCTGAAAAGCTCCACACCACAGAATAATGCATGCCACAGTTCGAGGGTTAAATACACCTGCTGCAACCAACTTTGAAATGAGTAATATTTGAGAAGAATTTGACACGTATTGGCATGTATTTACCATTTGCTTCCACTATCTGTTAGATGAGACCCCCCTGTATGCAATCAAGGTGTCATTGTTGAGATTCTCAGATCTTTGTAGAAGGTTCAAGGCAGGCTTTGGAAAAAAAAAAAAAAAAAAAAAAAAAAAAAAAAAAAAAAAAAAAAAAAAAAAAAAAAAAAAAAAAAAAAAAAAAAAAAAAAAAAAAAAAAAAAAAAAAAAAAAAAAAAAAAAAAAAAAAAAAAAAAATTTGTAGAAGGTTAAAGGCAGGCTTTGGAAAAAAAAAAAAAAAAAAAAAAAAAATCTGCATTTAGTTTAAAGACTGAGTGGCAATTATGTCAAGTTTATGAGCTTACATCACATCAATAATCATGTTTGTAATTAAAAGTATAATATAACATACATATATATTTATAATTCGCAAGCAAAACTAGGGCAAGAAGCAAGGTCAAACAAGAAGACGATGTTGCATAAAGTGATCTTTAAAAACAAATAAAGTGATCTCTAATTTTAAAAAACAAAATCAATGATCTTTAAGAAGAAACTTAGCCATCTTTATGAACAAACTAAACAATCTTTTAATAACATAAACTTGGGGATCTTTAAGAAAAAACTTAGCGATCTTTTTTGAACAAACTAAATGATCTTTAATAACAAACTAAAAGATCTTTAAACAAAAACTAAGCGATCTTTAAGAACAAACTAAGCAACCAAATAAAGTGATCATTAATAACAAACTAAAAGATCTTTAAACAAAAACTAAGCAATCTTTAAGAACAAACTAAATGATCTTTAACAACACGATGTTATATTAGATGTTTATGTATATTGGCCTGTGTTGCTTATGGTTGAAACGGGATGAAAGACTTTGACTTGGTATGCTCGTATGTAGTTTTATATTGCTGCGTCTGTTTTTTAAATGTGGTAAAATTTAGATTGTTTTTATTTCTCTTTATAATATGGTTGACTTTGTACCACACTTCGAGCTTTTGGGGATGAAGCATGTTTTTCAAATAAACTTTATTATTATTATTATTATTATATATTAGTAAGTCAAACTAACTGATGAATTATTTGAAAAATCAACAAAAAAAGAAAGCAAATTTTAATGGTTACCAATAAGATGTCCACTAAACAGTCTACTCTGATCAACAAGAAAGGAAGTTGTTCTGCCATCCCAATGTGCAAGATGAGCTTTGAAATCCTCAGCCAATATTTTTGTGCCAGACTTTAGCCATACATTGAAATTACTTAATCATAATCCCATTATTTCCATTTAAATATTTCTAAGTTTTAACACAAACTCACATAATATATCATGTAAGAGTAAAAATTAAAGAACGACAGTTAAAAGACAACAATAGATCATACTAAATATGGCATTGGCAGAGACTATTTGATACTTTAATATATCATTGAGCATTTTTAACATTAATTTCTTGTGAAAAATGGCTAAGAGAAAATAAAGTATACATAAATTATAATTTTTAATTTAGAGTAAAAAAAAAGATTTATTGAAGTAAATAATATTGATAACAAATAAAGATTAGCATTTTTTCCAAGAAATTATCACATCATTTCTATTTGTTAATTTAAGTTACCTAAGGTATCAAACCAAAATTTTAAAAATTTGATTGCTTTTGAAAGATCCTGAATTTAATCCTTTTTATTAGCTCTTGTCCTTCAGCAGATCTTTTTATGTAGGATGAAACACCTATGTTGCTGAATGTCTCAAAATATTTCAGATTTGTCATAGTATATACTGAGGAAAAGGAATAATAATGAAAAGGTTATATTTGAGACCAGAATAAAACTTGAATTAAAATTGCGTAGGAATGGAACTGTTCAATTGAATTGATGTCTGAACCAATATATTCTGATTTCAATTTTGAAAAAAAACTGCATAACTTGCTTGAGTCATAAAAAACCCACAAACTTCAAAGTGGGCCTAGTAAAAAAGATAGAATAAGATTAAACCAGAAAAGCAACATACGAAAAAAATAGATATATGGTGAATAGACTCACTGTGCCTATTCCCAAAATGTCTGAACTGATCAAATTAAAAATATTGCAGTGAATTTTAACTGGGACATAAAAGGAATGTTTGAAATAAGATACTCTCCTGCAACACTATTTCAATATAGGGCATAATGAATTAAATAATATGTTAACTAGTAATAATTAAAACTAAGACATATAATGAGTTAGAATTAGAAAATAAAAAAAATACAATTAAGGTAAATAATTTATATAATTGATATCTTGATAATTGATAGCTAATTTAATGAATTCTATGCATTATACTGAACATACTAAGGGGCCACCCATACACCACATAATCATCACAATTTATTTGAGCTCTCCTGCATTATCACAAATTAACCAAGTAAAATAATGATATAAATATATATATAGGCTTAACATAATTTAATGGTTTAAGTCAGGTCCTTTTGGAGGGAGTAGGTATCACCAGTGATGTACCTATGGGTGTGCTGAAAGCTGCTGTTCTGAGTGAAAGTTTTGTTATTATATCTTAACAACATTATATAATAAATGTGTGCAAAGGGGGGGATTCAAATGTAGGAGTTTGCGAAAGGCGGCATTTAGTCAAGGTAGGCCACATCATGTGTGGGGTATTTGGGGAGATAAAGACTATTCATACTTCCATATTCCTCACTTGAACCTACTTTTTTTAATTGAAAACTTTGTAATTGTAAGGGGAATTTATTTGTCACCAATAGATACTGACTTTAAATTGTAGCATAAGCTTTTTTATTATCATAGGATGCTGGGTGGGGATAATAGGTTACAGGAGGAACTTTTGGTCCAGGCTTCAGTTTATAAAAAAATCATTTGTGAAATATGAACTTTGTAGGCCTACTTGACACTCTTTACATTAAATATGGAATTTGAAAGCAACCAAGTTCTAATATTACATAAATGGCAAAATTGTAGGAGAGAATCAAGGCGAATCAATTGTTTAAAAAAAAATTGTGATTGAAACTGGGAAAGAATATCAAACCGGCTAGGACAGTGTTGCAAAAACGGAATGATCCCGTCAAACCATGACATATGGTATGATTGAAAGAAAATCACCATATCAGGATCTTTCAGAAGATATTACATACTTTTTTTTCACGGGCGTTCTGGGGTGAGGTCTGATGGTGCCTCTCCCCCCCCCCCAATCCCCATGTTTCATAAACATAAAATAAATGCTATAGGCATTACATACGATATAGTATCTATATAGTATATACTATAATATGTATACTGATAATTTATTATAATTTATATAAAAAGTATTCCACCACATTAACTGAGAACATATATTTTACACAAGTGTTCTCAAAAGAACAATGCCAAGTATTACCACTTCCTTCAAAGTAAAATCTAGAACTAAGCTTACTTTAATTTTGAAAATGTTTTCAAAATCATAAGCAGGACATTTAAACTCACATTATGCCATGGGTATATACACAAAGAGCTCTTTGGTTGTTAAGCCTACATAAGGGATTTAAAAAAAAAAAAGTGTGTAATATATAATTAAATATATTTATTATTTAGTTGTGTCATTTATTTATGCCTGGACATAAGAAAAGTTTTTTAAACTTTGTAGTCGTAAACTGTACTGGTTTCAGCCCATGACAAAGGTCTAAAAGCCAGCATTGTTCTGGTAAAAAAAAAGTTACCCCTTTGAATTTATGTTTAAAAGCTCCAACGCCAACTAGACAAGACAGACACTAATACTAATTCTATTGGACTAAAATATCATAGTACTGTTTAATTTAAAAATGTTCGCTGATCAAAAATTATATTTCAATAATAAATCTGCAGGTGGGAGAATTTCATAGACTTTCTAAGAGAAAAAGGTCTTCAGACTGTGTTGCTCAATAAAAGTAACTAACTCACCATGCTAGAATCCCTGTTACTGGTTTACACACCAACCTGTTATTGCTTTCTTATTTTTCTTATTATAAGATATATAGGCCTATAAATATAGGCCTAGTTATATGCTCTGATTCTTTGGTACCTAGTTATTATATTTCGATCTCATAGTCATAGTATATTAGTAGGCCTATAGTAGTCATACAATTTGTTAAAATGGTTGTTGCATTTGAACCAAATGACATTATTTTACTTTAAAACATACTTCTGATACTTCCATCAGGTAAATAGGACATTTTTATCTTTTTTTCACTAGAACTATAAATAATTTATTGCTCTAACTCTAAAATAAGGTGATAAATTATACTTAGCATAAAAAAATATCGATATAAGTACCGTATTTTCAGGCTTTTTAACCCATGAAAATATTTTCAAAAGTCGGGGGTTGTCTTATACCTCGGGGGTTGTCTTATATGCTGGTATAGGAGTGCTGAAATTTCAGGGACAGGTGACCTCTAGTTTCAGAGTTTGGTTTACAGCTTAGAAAACAAATAGCATGGCATGGCAGCTCCCATGGGTTTATTGTCTTATCCTTCCTTTTAGCGTTAGACTAGTAAGAGTGAATTACCGAAAAATTTTAATCCACTTGTACTCAATTGTACTGTTTTATGTTTGAGGACAAACACCCCTTATTCTTATTTATTTAATATAAATAACTTAGGAGTGTTTATCTTACAGTGACAGTTGTCCTGGTAAGTAGGCCTACCTGCATGTCATAAGCATTTGATTTGAATTTGAATTAAAATTACCATAATGAAATCAAATGTCATGCTTTTTAAATTTTTATTTGGTGTGCATCCTATACGGCGATTAGGCCCTATAGCTCAAACCCTATATTTTAACAGTACAGAGTAACAGTGTTAGTGTTAACTGTTAAGGAATACGATTAGTGACATCCCTAATATTAAATTTAATAATTATTAAATTAAATTTTATTTTCCAACTTACCTCAGTATTAAAGACAGCATTTCTTTAGGGGAAATACATTTCCTAAAATTAGTGTGTTTTTCTATTAATGGTCTAATTCCATTTAATACGTAGTCAAAAGTTTGATTTTTCATTGTAAAATAATCACAACACTTTTCGGGTGACATCACTGGACATCAGCATAGGAAACAATGAATGGAATTCTCCTAATGTTCGTTTCTCTCAGAAAAAATTGGGTTTAACCACTCGCTCCTCTCATTCTCTGACAATAATACTTTTAATTTTCATCCACTTCAGTTTTTTTTCCTTTAAATTTAAGGTAAGCTCACAGAAAATCTGTGTTTATTTTAATATTCGTAAGAGCTAGCGGAAAGACAGAGGAGGGTCAAGGCCGTTGCTATGATCAAACAATATAGGTTCGGATGCGATCGGTTGCAGTGTATTCTCAATTTTTAATAATGGCCCACTTACAGTGCTACCGAATGACCGGTCTTGTCGTCAGTCTTGTATTTCACCGAAATCCTGACCTAGTGTGGTCTAACATATAAGGGGCTCGCGTATCTTTGTGTTCAGTGACATTTTTAGCACAGTCACTAATACTAATTTGTTTAGAAGCATTTAAAGAAAAGAAATCTAACTCTGTGACCAGTAAGAGATATTTTAACGTGTATGATGGGCATGACAAGTAAGAGATATTTTAACGTGTATGGGCATGACAAGTAAGAGATATTTTAACGTTTATGGGCATGATCAGTAAGAGATATTTAACGTGCATGGGCATGACCAGTAAGAGATATTTTAACGTGTATGGGCATGACAAGTAAGAGATATTTTAACGTCTATAGTCTATTGACATGCCATCAATTATCAATACTCGGGGACCAGTTTTGGCATGTAGCGGAATATGATGATGCGGGTGGTAGTCAGTAGTCAATGACATTCACGCAAATTCTGTTTGTGATACATTCATAACAAGTCAATGTTAAGTCAGTAGTCAATGACATTCACGCAAATTCTGTTTGTGATACATTCATAACAAGTCAATGTTAAGTCAGTAGTCAATGACATTCACGCAAATTCTGTTAGTAATACATTCATAACAAGTCAATGTTAAGTCAGTAGTCAATGACATTCACGCAAATTCTGTTAGTGTTACATTCATAACAAGTGAATGTTAAGTCAGTAGTCAATGTCATTCACGCAAATTCTGTTAGTGATACATTCATAACAAGTCAATGTTAAGTCAGTAGTCAACAATGACATTCACGCAAATTCTGTTAGTGATACATTCATAACAAGTCAATGTTAAGTCAGTAGTCAACAATGACATTCACGCAAATTCTGTTAGTGATACATTCATAACAAGTCAATGTTAAGTCAGTAGTCAACAATGACATTCACGCAAATTCTGTTAGTGATACATTCATAACAAGTCAATGTTAAGTCAGTAGTCAACAATGACATTCACGCAAATTCTGTTAGTGATACATTCATAACAAGCCAATGTTAAGTCAGTAGTCAACAATGACATTCACGCAAATTCTGTTTGTGATACATTCATAACAAGTCAATGTTAAGTCAGTAGTCAACAATGACATTCACGCAAATTCTGTTAGTGATACATTCATAACAAGTCAATGTTAAGTCAGTAGTCAACAATGACATTCACGCAAATTCTGTTAGTGATACATTCATAACAAGTCAATGTTAAGTCAGTAGTCAATGACATTCACGCAAATTCTGTTAGTGATACATTCATAACAAGTCAATGTTAAGTCAGTAGTCAACAATGACATTCACGCAAATTCTGTTAGTGATACATTCATAACAAGT